AAAATAATCTCAGATGCCTACTCCTAACTAAAGTTAGTATCTGCTGATTTACAATTTTTCAACCTTCAAAGAGTTTTATAAAAAGAATATGTTAAATTTTTAAATACATCTACAAATCCACTGATACATGAGTGGCTTGAATGGTTATCAGAAAATATATACATATATGTTTAACTCGTTATACCCCCTCCTACAGCTGTATTCGGTTCACACTATGTCATAACGAAAAAATATTCAATCAATTTTAAAGAACATTTATGTGTGAATTAAAAAACTAAATAAATTAATATAGCTACATAAAAAAAATATGCCTTGCCTGGTACTTCAAACTTAAATCAAATAAAATGGGTGGAACTCACCAAAAAACTTGTGTCAGCACAAAAAAACTCTTCTCTAGGAGAGATAGACCTCTCGTCTGAACATATTACTCATCAGTGTCCCTTAAAAATTACGCCCCTGTGACGACAACAAACCATAAAGGACCTGGACCATAAAGCTGCAGACCACAAAGCACCAGATCATAAAGCACCATATCATAAAGTAGCAGATCATGCTTGAAGAGGACCCCCGAGCATGGAGGAAAACCAAAAACTCTTGAGAATGCAGTTCTCGCAGCGCCAAAAACCAAAAAGCCCACAATGGGTCGGCCATTTGCGGCTTTTTAATTTTTTTTTTTTTTTGTAATAGTTACAATATGTTATAGTTATGGAAAAGTTGTACCTCGATCCAATAAATTTAAAGGAAATGAAAATGACCTTCACAAAAATTTTTGTAAGGCCACCGTGCTTTTAGCTCGCCAAATCAAAGACAAAATGGTTCTCCTTGTCTTCATTGTTTCCGCCTGTGCTCCAGAGAACACAAAAGTCATGGAACCGAAAAGGCGAGAAACGGAAAAGATTCAGGCATCGAGAAACCATACCAGTCACTTCGGAGTGTTACTGGTGTAGCCAGAACCTCCAAAGGATGGACTTATAAAAATACCTACTGGTTGTCAAGTTGATTGACAGTGACGGTTACTTGGAACAGGTTAGAAAAATGTCAACAAACAATATATTTAAATTTATTAGGACTTATAAAAGTTAAAATAGATGTCCAAAAGAAATAAAGAATTAGAAACTAACGAGACTAGTGTACACTTTAAGGGTATGTAACACGATTAAATCATGGCATTTATAATTGAAATTCTGACATAAACTGAATTCTTCGGTATCGGAGAACAGTCTCCTGTCCCTGCTGCTAGAGATCCTCCTTAAAGCCCCCCTTTCAATTAAGGTTCTAGGATATAGCTAACATTTAGGGTATTTTTTAAAATCATTTTTGTTCATTCATTTCTATTATGTTAACATCAGTATCTAAGATTTTAAATTCATTTAAATTTTTGTTAATACTTCGAATATTATAAGTTATTTTAAAAATAGAATTATGTTGGTTAACATTTAAAATTTTAGAACACTCTTCGATGGTTTCCAAATTGTAAGTTTCGATTGATTGGATGCCGAAGTCTCGCATATATTCATTCATGTTAATTAACTTAAAATAGTATAATGAAATTAAAAATGTACAGTAAAAAATAAAGGGTAAGGTTTACTTTTCTTAATATATTATATTGATTTTTTATTTTTATATTTATTAATTTTTATTTTGTTAATTATTTATTATTTGTTTATATTTTTTATTTTATATCAATATTTTACTTACTTGTTTTGTTGAGCGCCTTATTTTTTTTTTATTTGAATAATTTTCTATTTATTACCCTTCTATAAAAATTAATTCAACTCCTGCTTTGTTTTTCTATTAAATACCCTAATCAAATTATCTGATATTTCGCTTGATATGCTCTCGTCCCAGGAATCGGTTCACAAACTATACAAATATTATTTTAAATTTAATTTACCTTTTTATTTCTTGGTATTTATATTGTTGTAAACCCTGTATATTTTTTTAATAAAATTCATTTATATAAAAATCAAATTTAACAAATTTATTTAAATTTCAATTTCAAAAAATCAAACAATTATATACAGTCATCAAATAAATCATATTATATTAAATCAGAAATAAATCCTCATTGATATTGATATTATAATGAAATTGTGATTCTTTCAATGAGTCTTTATTTAACCATAAATCTGCAGATTTGTTATTACTTAAAAATATATAGTGGACAAAAGATGGCGTCGAGTATAATAGTATTTGCACCCTCTATTGGGCAATAGAAAACTTATAGTCAAAACGAAAGTAGTTCACCACACATAACTATTTCTTTATTTTAAAGTTCTAAATAAATCACAATGATGGCGATCTGCAAACTGTCATGCAAAGGAACAGTACTTTTGATTCCTTTTTACTAACTTTACTATGAAAGTACAAAATACTATATTTTATTAGTGTGTGATATGCTCGTTGTTTTCTTCACAATAATGAATAGTTAAAACTTAAAGTCACTTACAATAATGCATGTAGTTTGCACTCTGAAGAATCCACTGTTTGGTTTCCAAGTATAAACCAGAGTCTCCAGAGTCAGATTTTCTTTGATGGCGATGCTTCTATCATACCGGTCCCGATATGAGTTTTCCTGATGAGTAGATTTGTTTAACTTGTAACATGTGATGTTGGTTTTACTTACCGTGTTTAAGCTCAATTTTAATTAGGGCCGTGAGTAGCACTTAATAACCTTGACAAAACTTAACTATAGGAAAGTTAAGGAGGGCGCCACCAAACTTACATAAACATATCATTTAAGGTGAATTATAATAGTTTGGCAAATATAATTAATATGACTGATGTTAAAACAAACATTTATATGTTTATGCAGGCAAGTAACAATTACAATCTACACAAGCCATGACTCATTTAAATTACTTCTTTATTTAATTTCAATGATAAAAAAATGAAACTTATCTCAGAGTAGGAATGGTGTTAGGTCTTCAATCTTTCTTTAAGGGTCGATCAAATAAGGACGGTCTCCTACAGCGATGCGTTTTCTTCTAACCATAAATTAACATGTTTGTTACCATAACTTCATATATCTTCTAACCATAAATTAACATATTTGTAACCATAACTTTAACTATCTTCTCAGCGTATTTTTAAACAAGTAATGTCACTTATTTTATTAAAAATTCTTAAATCTTTCAGTATGTAGTTTCACAGGATAATATGTTCATTTCCCTATTCTTGTTATATTTCTTTATTTTGCATCACTCTTCACTCTCCTTCTGCAATATCAATACAGTGCACCGCTCTTGTAAATTGTTGAAACATCAAAGATATGTTGTAAGTATATTGATGTAATACGAGTATAAGCGGCTGCTGCTTTAAATTGGTTTACAAAGGGGCAGATCTATTTGCTATTCGCCTACATTCTATTTCATTAGGTCACCCGATCGTTTCCCTTTGAAATCTGAGACGCTTTTAGTGAAGGAAAATATATAGACCAGTAATTTGTTTGCACACATTTCGGAAATGTGATGGAAAATAAATCTGTTTGAGATAGTAAGATGAGGCATTTGTTTATGAAACGGAATGCCTTAAAATAATGTTATTTTAGGAGAGCTAGAAGTACATCTATACTGTAATATTTTAATACTAAAATCAAAATTAATTTCAAACCCAGCGTATCATATATTGTAACCCCTTGAAGGGTTGTACAGATTAATTGTGGTCCGATAAGTTAATTTTTAATCTTTAAGTGTTCTTATCTAAAAATTTAACAAAGTAACATTTTCTTTTCAAACCACAAGTGTGGCAACTTTTCGTCTGGTGAGGACTGGGTCGTTGGTTGTGGAGTTTTGATTTCTGGAGTGGCTCCGGGCGCCACCTAATTTAAAAAAGACTAAATAAGGAAATAATATTCATAAGAACGGTATCTTATAAAGATATACTTTAAGATATAACACTTCTTACTTTTGAAATAATAAAAGAACAAAAACACTTAAATATATTTAGTAAAAAATGTTTATTTTACTTTATACTGGTTGAGATCTTTTGTTATATATATAGAGAGTGATTTCACAGTAATTCAGACATCAGTATTTCATAGAATATTAAAACATGGCTGGTTGAGTTCTTTAAAATAAACTAAGTATAATTTATTTACCTAAATTTAACAAATTTCAGACATCAGCTGTTACTCTACATAAAGTGGATTCTAATTGAATTCAAAAGAAATATCTTCAGGATCAAACCTGGTTTTACAAATAAGTCCCCACTATGCTATATGTACAAAAATTCCAATGAAAAATTATCCTACGATAAATCTTGTTTTAATATAACTTTTTTAGTATAATACAGTATGTACCCTAGAACCTTGTATTTGTGGATTATTTCAGAGTCATAAGTACCTAAGTGTTATTACTAATTAGATAACTGTAAACAGTAATCAAACTTTGGAAAACCTAAAAAAATATATGGAAATCTTACTATATTTCCTATAAAAAAAATGTATACAACCATAAAATTGTTTCTTGCAATTATAAGATATAGCTACCCTTAGACGAACTTAAATGCTTGGGAAAATAGAAGTGAGTCGCTGATGAATCCCTTCGGGTAGAATCTTGATTCACCCTGTTCTTCATAAATGGCGAGGAGGTTATAAAAAAACGATTTATAGTGACAGCCACCAGCTAGGCTCCTATCTGTTTTGTACTCAATGTAATCCCATGGCCCTGGCATACACTTTGATCCAAAAGGTTGACTTTACAACATACTTCACTACTACAGCCTAGGGTGCTGTTGTAAAATGCCTTCTACAATATCAATGTTTGTTTTTGGACTCGTGCAATAACGATTAACAATTCGTCTCCAAAAATGAGGTATAGGAAAAGTAAATATGGCTCCACAAGCCACGACTTGAAAATATCAGTGCCTTTTAACTAATACTGAGGCGTATCCTAATGTGGATACACTAAAATGGTCCCTAAATGGCCGTGATATCCTATAAAAAGATAATACCCCATAAGAATGTCTTTTTAAAATCTAAATATTTAAAATAAACTTACCAAACATGTGGCCATTAAAATTTATGATGTTCTCACATCAAACGTGTCGAACCAACAGGAACGATAAACCGTTTTCGTTAACCGAGTTAAAACGAAAATAAAAACGATCGTTGCTCCTATTCAAAAATTATAGTTATTTACGCAGGCTTTATAGGCAACACACTATACACTAAAGTGATATATGGGTTGACATACAGTAGGCACCCATTTCTCTGAAATAATCCTAACATAGACCAAGTTTGCTGGTGGTATTGATTTATTAGGTGTCAAGAATATACAGGGTGAAATGACAAAATCAAAAAATGGTCCCATTTTCATGTTACAATCTCATTCTCCATCATTGTTGTGGTATCATCATTAATGTGGTAAGCTGGTCCTCGCTGGTCTCAATTATACTTTGTCCAATTCATTGTAAAACAATATTTTGGGAAACAAATTAAAAATGTAAAATTGAGTTAAAAAATTAATTAAATCCTTGACATTGGAACAAACCAATAACAAATCCTCTGAAAATAGAAGATGAATACACCTGTCCAAAGAACTGGGAGTTGTCAAAGTATCAAACTATCTTTAAAAATCCATAATTGTTTTTAATAACTTAATATCCTTCTGTTGCAATTCTAGACTTCCAATTAGCATGTCCGTTTTATGTTGAGGATAACCTTGTCTGCATTAGCTGAAGAATGTCTAAAACATTGAGCTGTGTAATCGTTTGGATAGGAACTTTTAAATAGGTCGCTATTTTAAAAGTTATTTGACAAAATAAATTCTTTCCAACCATCTTACTGAAACATTTTCCATTATTATAATACATAAAAAACCGTTTGTGTTTGGTATTTTTAATGCACAGTGAAGTATATTTGTCTAACTATGCATCTGAAGTAGAGTGTAGTTCAAAGCCCACTTGAACTCAAGCTCTAGGCTTATTGTACCCTCACAGCTTCTACCCGATCATTATCGATGATTCCATAAATAGGTCTGACGGGCGCTTTCGCCATTTCTTCAGGTTTCGGATATTGAACCCGTTCCTAATTAAGGTTTCGATAATGCTATAGTATGTAAACAGGGGTTTCGTCTTGCTCTTTACATATTCTACATAGGGAATCATCAGATATCAATAAGAGATTTAGATGTCTTCAAAGGTCACAGTCTCCTATTACGGCCTTTGGTTCGCTTCTAAGGTTTAGCAGTTGATTTTGTCCGCTCATGGATAGACCCTCTATGAATATTTTAGACTTTCTAAGTCCAGGAAGTTCCAACCAGAGCCCATGGAGTTTTCTATTTATCTGCTCCGTTAGCAACCATTTAACATGTTGGCATGAAATACCATATGTGTGTTCTGGTCCAATTAGAGTTAGCTGGCAAGTTTGAGTTGCTTGTTTTTTAACACTTCCTCATGCCCCGACACCCACCTTGTTGAATTCTGCCAGGATTTGTAGAGACTCTTGACAAACAAGTTATAACTTAAACTGAACTCCTACCCTTTTCAGTGTTTTAAAGTCTGCCTGACTGTCAGTCATAATAATCTTATATCTAAAAGAGTAATTTAGCATAATTTTGACTAGCATTAATTGCTGTTACTTCAGTCTGGAAGATTGTTGTCAGTGACTCAGGTTCATACTAATGCTCCTTTCTAAGATAACATGGTAAATCGCAGCTGCTGTACTGTTTTTCATCTTCGAACCGTCTGAATACCAGATTGATTCGTTTTGTATTTCCATATTTTCCGACTTTTGGCCTTTTCTGGTATTTTAATATCGAAAGGTTTCTTATAATAATAAATAATAGATATTCTATCAGATAGCATTCCTAATACCGGTTTTTGTTTCAATTTCTTTAATATCATTGTATGGTTACTTTTCTGGAAAGTTCGTATTCAAATCCATTAGTGAACCTGTATACCGCCGCCATAGCTTCCTTCTCCACCACAAGGTGTAATGGAGGAAGACCTAGCATTAGCTTCATTACTGCAGTTGGCGTAGTTCTAAATGCCCCTGTTATTAGTCAGGCCAGTATTTGAACTTTATCTAATTTTCTGTTAGCTGTTACATTTTTAACCTAGTGTCGCAATATGACTGTTGAGTAAGTTATAACAGGTATTTCAACCATGGGATAAAGCCAATGCATCATCATACTTGGTTTAAGCAACTGTGTTTCCTATCGTCTACAGGCCCATAGTATTATTTTACCTTTTTCTTTTTTTTTTTTTCTATATAGCTGCACAAGCTAAGCTTGTCCGCTAGAATAATTTCTAGATATTTAACATCCTTTGTCAGTTTTAGATGTTGCCCCCACATATAAAACTCATTCATTCCTTGAAGGTTTCTTTTTCTTGTGAATTCAATAACAGAGATTCTCTTCGGATTTGTGGACAATCCTTTCTTCAGGCGCCATCTTTCGACGATATTTATTTCTTGCTGTATCCCGAATACTTATGTCGTTTACGAATTTTTGCGTGTAAAGGTTTTCTCTCTCTAACTCTTATAAGATTGTCTATAGATGTCAAGATAACTTAGTGCTCGTATGGTTACTAATACTAATAAGGTTGTTCCTAAATCTTGAAATTCGTCCACTAATTCCTCTCGGCGACATGCTCCTCAAATGCAACCTATAACAAATATTTATAATAACATAGATATTCATCTAAAATCAATAAGCAACTATCTTACTTTTATCATACAATATAAATTATCTGGAGCATCTACTAAAAATAATTCCATTTCTTCTCGTGTTAAAATTTTTGATATTTAAGAATATTATTAATCTGGAATATCTACCGATATTTATTTTATTGCGCAAATTTACAGTTTCCTTTAACTAGGAATGACCACATAGACGACGGGTAATGTATTTTAATTTTTTCCATAAAATATTCAAGAAATAATTGTCTGTATAGCTGCCATCTTCAACATTATGCCAAGAGGCAAACCACGAAGTCCAAAACGTACCTATATTTCAGAAATTTCCTAAAATTCGTACGATTTAATTTTCTATGATTTCTCTATAAATTGTCATGAGAACTCTCCACTTGACTTTTTTTACTCTTTTCTAGTCTTTATGTTAAATGATCCTAAATCTCAGCATCGTCATTTTTTGCGTGCTAAAATGTTACTTCCATTCGAGCAATAGCTATTAAATTACAAAGATACTAAAAAAAGGACATTCCCCGAAAAAACAGCATTTTTAATTGACGTTAGTTTTACTTTACATGCATTTTATACAAATTTTTTTTTATTCAACTACTTTTGTCTACAAATAATCAATTATCCTGCACGAGACTTTTCCAGGTTGCGCCTTTTTTGCATTTTCAAACTTCTCCGATAAAAAACTTCTCAAGTAAAACATCCTAACTTACAGATTAAAATTAATATATTCCAAAAGTTTTGATTATTCCATCTAAATCATTTTAATCCGAGTGTTTTCATTCGCATTTTATAAGACAAAAAACCTTCTGTAAAAGAGCATAAGGAAAAATATTAGAATATTAAAAATATTAAAATTAAAACTTACTAAATAGTATGATTGTTGATGATAAAGAAAGTAATAAAAACAATGAAGATTAGAAAGAAAGTAATTCTCTTTGTAAAAGTATAAGAAATATTTTATTGTTGAGTCTAGAAGCCAAGGATGTGCAAACTAGGCAAAAACATAAAGAACTTTTTACTCCTAGCAATATTCTCCTAGTAATATTGAGATGAAATAAGCCAACAGAACATTTTCATCGATACCTTTTATCTTCCGTGAATTCATCCAAAACTCCTTGTCGTAAGCATCTCGGGACTATTATGTCAAAATCTGCATCGCTGCTTCTTCCGCTTCCGTAAGGATATTCCCAGGAATGTAACTTCCACCGGTTTTCTCTATTTTCTATACGTTGTTTTCTTCAAAAAACTTTCCTTTTCTGCAGGAAAAACTGACAAATGTCCAAATTTATTTATAACAATGACAAACAATGTATCATGCCCGTAGCAACCAGACAAACAACCCTACTTTGACCAAAATGTAAAAAAGTCACTGTCAAGTCATTCTGACATTTACAGAGTACTGAGACGCAATAGGATTTGATCACAAAACTTATTAATTATTATCTCATAAAAAATTTTTTTTTCCAATTGTTTGTTGGATAAAACAATGTATGACACTCGTGTATTATGTTTCCTAAGTCACTTGAGAATTTATATCTTTCTCGCGTAACTTATTTTCAACACAACACACTAGTACCATAAATAACTAATATCAATACCGTTTTATGTTTCTACAAACCCCATACCCTATTCCCAAATCTCTCTCGATTATACTTGAAATTTCAATATTTAGATAGGAAAGAATCCCGATTGAAATTGCATTAACTACCCGATTTATCTTCTTCTTCAAAAAAAAAGTCTAACCGAAGAAAATTGTGCTGACAATCGTGGTCTTGAATAAACGTAATAACCAGTAGACTTGTCCGAATACGATCTTTTTTTTATCCAATTAGAAACGAAACCGAAAGGGCGATAAATCTTCTCTAAACGAATTAAAAAATTAAAGGAGATTTATAACGTTTCTCACGATCGCTAAACACAAGCGGTTAGAGTTGCTAATTTATATGGTCCCTTCTTTTGCAATAAAACATTTATGCGAAAAATGATATCCAGCCTAATAAAAGCAGTTAATTGGAAGAAAAATTATCGGGATTTTAGAATTATTAACAGTCGAATGGATGTCTTCTTGTGGTAGGATATAAATATTAAATTTTTATACATATTTAATGATATACTGTTAAGGCAAAATTTAAATGTCATAAGTAAAAAACTCGGGGAAAAGCAGGAAGAGGGAAAAAAAGAGGCGCAGAAAAGCAGAGGTGCAAATTATTAATGGCTTGCTACAAATTCAAGAGGTAGCTCAGCTAAACAATCCAGTAGATCTCCTAGAACAGCAACAACAGAATATAAAGAGTAGTTAAGAACATCAACAAGAAAATTCAGAAGGTAATTTAGAGCAACAGCAAGAGAATTTGAAACCCAATTTAGAACAACAAGAACAGGCTAGAGTAGGGTTGGAAAG